CTTGTTACTCTCTTCTCCCCCCCTCTCCCTTGTCACTCTCTTCTCTCCTCCCCCTTCCCACTCTATCTATCTATCTGTCTATCTATTGATCGATCTATCTATCTAACGGTCTATATATCTGTCTGTCTGTCTGTCTGTCCTCCATCCATCTGTATAATTGGATCCAAATATTAACGTTATCTTATATTCCTACATAGGTATATCTGTTCGTCCTGTATAATTATTTTTAATTATTAATTATAAATAATCTGTATAATTATTTTTTACAAAAAATAGGTGCTATTATCAACTGTGGAAGGTTAAATATTAATATCATCCATAAGATATAAGTCCACCATATTCTAAGTCTCACTAAATTAACTTCTGATTTATCTTGATGTATCTCCTTAGCAGAGTTACAGCAACATAACTGACAAGACAGATGAGATAAAACAAGAAATACATTATGTGAAAAGTGAACTTACCTTGAAGATAACACGTAATGAGTGCCACTATAAACCACAAAGACATTATCGAAATAGATCGTATGCTGTTATTAGTCGAGAAGATATTATGTATAACTTGTAACAAATTAGAGAAACAATACACATCCTCCTGTCCTCTATACAGTTTAGTTATGGTCTCATAATGAGGAACAGGAAATAAGAATCTGGGTTTAAACAAGTGAATGAGATCTGAAACTGCTGACACAAGAACATCCAAACATGCTTATAAGATGAACAAAACTATTGCGGGCATTCAATTGTTTTCAAAAAATCTTTATTACAATAATAAAAGATGTAAAATAAAGAAAAAAAAACACAAACATTTACTTGCTAAATTGAAATTTGGGAAGGATTACTGAGTGGATTAAAAATGATAGGTCTCAATGGCTAAACGCAGTATGACGTCTGAAACACAATGCCTGTCTGTGATCATTTGCATGTCAATCTGGGAACTCTGGGATGGTTGTAGAAACATAGTTTCTCCTGTTTCTGTGTCTAAGGGTGACTTCTAAATGTTCGACTTGAGATATGCAGGAGATACATAATAGTAATCTTTCTGTTTGCACTGCGGGGAGTTTCATCATGTTTGTTTTCACCACAATCTATGTGTCATCTAACTATGTACTCTCTGAGAGACTTCAGATTCAGAACAAGTGCATTGCTGATGAGGAACACATGGATAAAACTGATCGTGGTTTATTTCTTGCCACATATCCTTTTAAATCATTGTCCAGGTTTATAAAAAATAAAAAAATCTGTGTTTAAAACAGTGTCTATTGCTAATGGTATCTGTAGACATACAGTATGAAGTTTGTACCACAATGCCTGTCTGTGCTCATTTGCATGTAGAGCTGGAAACTCTGGGATAGCTTTGGAAACATAATTCTCCAGTTTTTGTACTCAAGAAGAACTTCTCAAAGTACAACTTGAGATATGCCTATCATTAATGTGTCTACATAGCCAAATTTGGAACATTTTCCTACTTATATTCCATCTCCCATGCAATGTAGGGCTCAAAGACAAATATTAATTTAAAACTAAAAAGAATTAAGAAATAATTCAGATGCCAGCATATCTTTGTATGGTTTAATTTCCCCACATGCACAGTTTATAAGTTGGAACATTTTAATTCAGGGATAAATACAATCTATTGAAAAGATGATGAGTTTATTGCACAATAATGTGAACTCAGAGATGTTTGGGAAGGGTTTCCCTTCTAACATGTTAGAGACGGATTTGATACATCTCCATCTGTACTACCGGTGCTTTGGCAAGCATGGTTACTAAGTCATCATTTGCATTAAAGACAAAATTGGAGAAAAAGAAAATAAAAAGGTAACATTTTTCATACTTTTGTTTATAATAAATTGGTTGATATTTAGTTCAGCTAAAGAAAACTACATCACAATACACACATTCATTTGTTCTAGATTTTGGATATAATTAATATGCCTATGGTTTTAATGTATGTTTAGTATGTCACATCCTACAGGCTGAGTTCATAGTTACGAATCCATGAACTTTATAAGAAAATACATGTTTACTGTGACATCCCTGTGAGTTGACGTCTGTTAATGCAATCTAACATTGCTGAAATTAGAGAAGATGAATCTAAAAGGAGACGTGGTGAGACATTTCTACCAACTCTCTTTTTTGATAGATCCTCTTTCTGTCTAAAGATGATTCAAAGAACGAATATTTGGCTTTCTTCCTCAATCTTCTACATTTCTTGTAAACAAACAAGTAGATTACCAAATATCACTTTCTGGGTGGAGGAACTAAGCAGCTGGACATGGAATTTCTGGTTGTGTAATCTGTCCTATTTATGACCATCACTTTACTGCCTTTATCTGACTGTTTTTTTATTTTTTTTAAGGTTACCTATTCATGACTGATTGAATTTTGTTTTAACATATTTCTTTTAGATAAAAGCAATTTTGACCTTGTTTTAATAATCTTTTGAAATAATTCAATTAAAGATACACAATTGTCTGTGAGCACATTTAATGGCTTTATACACTTTTCATGTAAGAAATGATGAGTGCTATTGGAGGATTCTCTGTGTGTAACTTATAGTGGGTGTCAAACTTGTCTGGTTACAATTACATGTTTGTTAGTCCACCCATTGTACAGCGCTACGGAATTTGTTGGCACTATATGAATATAATAATAATAATAGTGTGACGATTTTCATTGACACTGTGGGACTGGTGATCAGCATAGCTGCCAAGGAAGGCATGCCTATTCATTATGAATATTGTACGATGAACAAGAACAATTGACTTTTTAAAGAAAAACTCTGTTATATTTTTTATTATTTTTTAATTATTTGAAGGCATTCTTTAGTTGAGGTATTTGGTACAATGTTTAAGCTAATCAGGGTACTGGTGCACACACTGAATCTGGTTTATTCTGTTTGGACAATGATTCAATACTGTTCAGAAATGTTTCCAAATTATCTGAAGAACTCCCATTAAGGTCTGTGGAAATTTTTGAAGATACACAATTTGGATATTTTTCTAACAATATTGATTCATTTGGAAATCTCATTAAATGAAATGTATATTAGTTGTTGTTTTTTTTCTACCAGTTTCAGTAAAGTGATTTACTTAAAACTTCTAGTATGTAAAAGACAAAGTGATTAAATTCTAGACGTCTTGCACTCTACCTTTGTCAGCAAAGAAACCTTTTTGATTTAATTTTAGACTGATTGTTCAAATCAATCAGTTGATTCGGTTACAGTAGAGCACAAAGACTGCACGTGTTGAGTATGTAATCAGTTCCGGGTGTAAAGTACTTTCAGGAAAATTGGTTTTATGTCTGTATTTTTTCTATTAGCATTTTGTTTAGTAAAAGTCTCAGAGTGTCAATATCCATTACTACATCCGAATTCAAGGAAAGTCGACCCACCTACGAAGTGTTTTTAGAGTCAATTACGCAATAGTTCAAATTAGACTAACTATATCCAGAAATCATTTTCCATCATTGGATTAGACTGAATTCATAGTTACGTATCCATGAACTTTATAAGAAAATACATTTTTAATGTTACATCCCTGTGATTTGAAGCATGTTAATGCAATCTAACTGAGATTAGAGACGATGAGTCTAAAAGGAGACGTGGTGAGACATTTCCACCAACACAGCCTCTTTTTTAAAAGATCCTCTTTCTGTCTAAAGATGATTTTTAAAAAGGTATTTGGATTTCTTCCTCAATCTTCTACAAATCCAGTTGATGTAGTTTCCCTTTCTCTTAACTTTTACTTTGAAATGGTATAATTGCAGCATGTTTCTTCATTGAACTAATTTCTCATTAATCAGTTAGTGTAGAATGCATTAAATATTGATCACTTAGTAGTATACTTGGCAGTAGATTAATAGATAGAGAAGAGGAAGAGAAGGAAGAAAGGAAGAGAGAAAAGAAAGGGACAGGAAAGGTAAAGAAAGGAAGGGAAAAGAAAAGGAAAGAAAAAGAAAGAAAGGAGAAATGCTTGCTCATATATTGGTACTATGAAGAGTAATGCAGAGAGAGGAGGGAAGAAGGTTTAATCATCACGTATGAATGTTGTGTATGATTATTTTATGTTTGTGTGTGTTTATTAATAATAAGGTGTTTTCTATAAATTAAAGTTATTTAATAGGAAAAAGGAGAGAGAAAGAGAACATTGATGATGACGAATATACCAAGCCTGAGACGTAAAGTAAGAAAGAACATAAGAGGCTGGTAATGTCTGAAATGGAAAGAAAAAAAAAAATATTGATCACTTGATATTAATCTTTCTACGTCTAGGATGTTTGATATAACTGTTTGAAATGTATGGTTGCAATATGATCATTCTTTAGCCCAACAGTTTAAATATATATGGACAAGATCATAAAGGAACCACTGTATGTCATTTGTATATGTAGAATATGTACATATATTGTAATATGATAAAAAATATGAAAAATAAAAAACTATAATTGAAAAAAATAAATAAAGAAATAAATAAATATTGAACACTTCATACATTTTATACAGGGAGTGCAGAATTATTAGGCAAATGAGTATTTTGACCACATCATCCTCTTTATGCATGTTGTCTTACTCCAAGCTGTATAGGCTCGAAAGCCTACTACCAATTAAGCATATTAGGTGATGTGCATCTCTGTAATGAGAAGGGGTGTGGTCTAATGACATCAACACCCTATATCAGGTGTGCATAATTATTAGGCAACTTCCTTTCCTTTGGCAAAATGGGTCAAAAGAAGGACTTGACAGGCTCAGAAAAGTCAAAAATAGTGAGATATCTTGCAGAGGGATGCAGCACTCTTAAAATTGCAAAGCTTCTGAAGCGTGATCATCGAACAATCAAGCGTTTCATTCAAAATAGTCAACAGGGTCGCAAGAAGCGTGTGGAAAAACCAAGGCGCAAAATAACTGCCCATGAACTGAGAAAAGTCAAGCGTGCAGCTGCCACGATGCCACTTGCCACCAGTTTGGCCATATTTCAGAGCTGCAACATCACTGGAGTGCCCAAAAGCACAAGGTGTGCAATACTCAGAGACATGGCCAAGGTAAGAAAGGCTGAAAGACGACCACCACTGAACAAGACACACAAGCTGAAACGTCAAGACTGGGCCAAGAAATATCTCAAGACTGATTTTTCTAAGGTTTTATGGACTGATGAAATGAGAGTGAGTCTTGATGGGCCAGATGGATGGGCCTGTGGCTGGATTGGTAAAGGGCAGAGAGCTCCAGTCCGACTCAGATGCCAGCAAGGTGGAGGTGGAGTACTGGTTTGGGCTGGTATCATCAAAGATGAGCTTGTGGGGCCTTTTCGGGTTGAGGATGGAGTCAAGCTCAACTCCCAGTCCTACTGCCAGTTCCTGGAAGACACCTTCTTCAAGCAGTGGTACAGGAAGAAGTCTGCATCCTTCAAGAAAAACATGATTTTCATGCAGGACAATGCTCCATCACACGCGTCCAAGTACTCCACAGCGTGGCTGGCAAGAAAGGGTATAAAAGAAGAAAATCTAATGACATGGCCTCCTTGTTCACCTGATCTGAACCCCATTGAGAACCTGTGGTCCATCATCAAATGTGAGATTTACAAGGAGGGAAAACAGTACACCTCTCTGAACAGTGTCTGGGAGGCTGTGGTTGCTGCTGCACGCAATGTTGATGGTGAACAGATCAAAACACTGACAGAATCCATGGATGGCAGGCTTTTGAGTGTCCTTGCAAAGAAAGGTGGCTATATTGGTCACTGATTTGTTTTTGTTTTGTTTTTGAATGTCAGAAATGTATATTTGTGAATGTTGAGATGTTATATTGGTTTCACTGGTAATAATAAATAATTGAAATGGGTATATATTTGTTTTTTGTTAAGTTGCCTAATAATTATGCACAGTAATAGTCACCTGCACACACAGATATCCCCCTAACATAGCTATAACTAAAAACAAACTAAAAACTACTTCCAAAAATATTCAGCTTTGATATTAATGAGTTTTTTGGGTTCATTGAGAACATGGTTGTTGTTCAATAATAAAATTAATCCTCAAAAATACAACTTGCCTAATAATTCTGCACTCCCTGTACACATGGCATTGCAAAATATTGCAAAGGAAAAAAAGTTAAAAAGCTGAAAAACTGTGGGACTGGTGATCAGCATAGCTTCCATGGAAGATGCTCCTATTCATTATCAATATTGCATGATAAACAAGAACAGTTGACTTTTTAAAGAAAAACTTTATTATATTATATTTCTTTTTTTTAAATTTTATTTACAATGTGCTCGTAAGGATGGGTTGATATGGGTACCACCAATCTAAAGGGAGAGCGAGAGAGGAGGATTAATATTAGGAGGATAGACAAAAAGATCTGTTTTGGAAAGATTCAGTTTCAGAAAGCGGGGGGACATCCAGTCAGAGATAGAAGAGGTGACACGTTGCAGGACATCAGGGGAGAGCTCTGGGAAGGAGAGATAAATCCAAATCCAAATGAGGTGAAGGAATGAGGTAATGGAATCCAAATGAGGTAATAAGTTTGCCAAGACAGGCATTGTAAAGAGAAGGGGACCAAGGACAGAGCCTTGGGGGACTCCAACTGAGTCAGGACGGTGGAGGTATCATTAGAAAAAGAGACACTGAATGTTGGGAGAGATAAGAGGAAAACCACGAGAGGACAGAGTCACAGAGACTGAGTGATTGAAGAGTTTGGAGATGGAGAACATGATCAACGGTGTCAAAGGCAGCAAAGAGGTCAAGAAGAATTAGTATGGAGTAGTGACCTTTGGATTTTGTTTGTAACTTTGATAAGGGCAGTCTCTGTAGAGTGGAAAGGGCGGAAGCCAGACTGAAGAGGGTCAAAGAGAGAGTTGGAGTTGAGGAAGCAGGCCAGACGGGTGACAACTAGTCTTTCAAGAAGCTTTGAGGAAAAAGGGAGCAGGGATATAGGTCGATAGTTAGAAGGGGAGGATGGGTCGAGACATGTTTTTTTTTAAGATGGGTACTACAGTAGCATGTTTAAGGTTTAACATTTTTTTTGTCAATCTTTTTTTATTGAATTTTTTATTTTGTTTATCATATCAATGTACTATGTGATACATAGAAGAAAAGGGGAAGAGGGTTTGTGCATAAAATTTTAAAACAAGCATCAACATTTATCAGGATAGTGGTATGCAGTGCAGCAGTAATAATACATACATTGATATACGTTCAAGAGGGTACTAATTGTGTAGGGAGGTCAGCTGTTTGGTGTCTGTAAACATAAATGTTTCCCAGTCAGGGTGACAGTGTCAGGCCATCTTCTATTTGTTCCCTTAACCATGGGGGTAGCGGGGGGGGGGAGGGGGCATTTATGATTGGCAATATGTGTGGAATCATAGCTTTTGGGCAATGCCCTGACATTCGGATGCCAGAGCGCTTTGGTAATATGAACATACTGCTTCCATATGTCAACCATTGAAACGTATATGTATACTTGTGAAAAGAGTAATGGAAATAAACATAACAAAACATAAGGGTTTGAGCCTCAGGATGTTGTTAAGTCTCCCTGTGTAGCCAGGTTTCTGGGTGTAGGATCGAGTGATCCATTGATATAGAGGGTACTGCTGTTCTGGCATCCCATCTATTCGTTCCGGGATGTTGATCTGGAGGGATCTTCGGGGCCAAAATACCAGGGCTTTAAAGAAAGTAGGTGCCTCGGCTAGTGATGAGATTTTAAGTACAGTCCCGTTGTGAGTGACCACTAGGAACCCTCGAGATCTCCAGTGGTATTCCACACCAGCTGTTCTCAGATGGCAAGTTACAGGTTGCAGGGATCATCACCATTGCAGCATGGACCTAGTGAGGTCCTGGTAGAAGGAGAGACTTGTCCCTTCAAAGGATAGTGGCGCCTTGCCTTGCAGCACTGACATCAGGAGTCTTTTATCCTGTGAGGTGGAGCATCTGACAATCACATCCCTCACCATAGTAGAGGCAGCTCTGCCTGCTGCTGGTAGACAGTAGATCCCATCTATGGTAAATTTCTTGTCATTAGTTGGGGACAGTATGGAGGCTACTGGTCTCTTCATATAGTGAAGGAGCTCGTCAGGCGTAATTGTATCAGGTACACCTCTGGTGGTTGCGCCGTGACCTGTCATCCAGAGCCATATTGTGGAGTGAGAGAGCCTCTTGGTGTGTTTGCAAAGTTAGGACTGTGGCTTGTAGGTCTGAAAGTCCTGGTTTAATTGTAACTATGTGCTCTTCTGAGGCCTTCAGTGCAGCTCTGTGATCGGCCTTCTCCGCCATTTTGGCTGGTTGGTGTCGTGGCAATATTGCCCCTATGTCTATGGATCCTGATGGTGGATCCAGAGGGGGCTTTTGTGATCATCTACCCATCTGTGCCAGGGGTGATTGTTGAGCGCCTGGGTAGTAGTCAGCCTCCGGGTACCCATGAGGCTGCAAGCTGTTCAGGCTCTGTGTGGGCTTGTGCTTCTGCATTTTTACCCTTGCGGGCTGAACGTATGGCATAGATCGCCTCTGGGGTGCTTACTTTGTGGTGTGTTAGCTGGTAGCAGGCTGGGAGAGGGATTTAGCCCTTAAAAATGACGCTTCACGCTGCAAAATGGCGCCGGTCAAGCACCGCCCCAGTTTAACAAATTTTATTACAGTACAAGAAAGATAAAGGTAAAAGATTTCATTTTCTTTATTTCTCCATTTGCTTCTCTCTATATTTTTACTTACAGATTCACAGCCCATAGAAGTAGGGTTTAGGCACAGAGATAAGAAGGCATTGTTCTGCATGTCTTGTACCAGAGAAACCAACCTATGTGTATCCCTCCTGCTTGAATTAAGAAACAGCCAGAATGATTTATTGCAAAGCTTTGGACAGGCAATCTTAGGATAGAGAAAGAGAATGGATACATTTTATTTATACAAAGCCAACATAAAGTGTTTGGGAAGTTTAACCTGTTAAGCATGTGCTTACAAACAGGGGTATACAGGACAGGTGTGTCTAGCAGCAAGTTGCAAGTTTAACAGCCATTGAAGATGATTGATGGTCTGAGTAAGAGACAAACTAATAGAAATAAACTAAAATATGACCTTTTATTTGTACTAAGGGATAAACACTGACTTGTATAATATGAGCTAAGCCAAATGGCTAGAAAATTGAAACCTATATCTGTCATGACAGGTTCACTTTAATATTGCAGTCGTGTACAAAACGTGTAGAAAAGATAATGAAAATACAAAAACATATGCAAACATAGTGCTACGTGCCCTGTCACAGTTCTGGAAATCCACTCACATGACTTAGAGCAGGTATAATTGTTTTAAAAAAAAAGCTTTAAGCTTAATAAAAAAACAAAACAAAAACAAACATAACACATAACTTGTGTAGAGCTACATTAGGTGGCTCTGTCCATCCTAGGACTACTTAGGATTAATAAATGAGCACTCCAAGCACCATAATCACTACAGCCTGCCATAGTTGATTGATGCCTATAGCAACTGGATAATTGTGGTTCTTCAGAACCATCTGCTGCAAAAAACTGCTAAAAGGAAGACAGTGGTACCCAGATAGTTTGCAAGTAGCATAACTGCCACTGCTTAAATTCAGTCATTGTAGAAAGTGGCTAACTACTCTACAATATGTGAGTGACTTTCCAAAAATGTGATACAAACATATTTATTGTGTTGTAACAATTCTGAATCTTGGCAGCTAGAGTTAAACCTCATTGGACATTTTGTTTTCTACATTTCACGTGTTGTTTGTTTCATTTCTGAGCAGAGATGTACACTGTGCATGTATTTAGCTCTTCTTTTATACGTTGCGGTTTCTATGTAAAAGGAAAACATTTTCAATAAATTGCATTTTTGACAAACGAGGAAATAAAAATTACTGTCAGTATTATTTGTATAAATAAAATAATATCTACCAAGTTATAATTTGAATTTTTTTTGGAGGGGGGCAGGGGAGTGTGGGGGAGGGGGGGCAGTGGGCAGGAATTATATACAGGGTTATGCGCTAAAGTGAGAATTCAAAGTGAATTTTAAATTTAAGGTAAGTGTAGCTTAAATGGAAAAAATAACGAATTCAGCTATTTGAAATTCACGTTGAATTCTCACTTTAGTGAAAAGGCCTGTTAGGATCCAAACTATTATCACTAAGTGGGGTTTTCTCATCCCACAGTGAAACTTCATTTAATGGGGCTGTTGCTAGCTAGGGCACCGGCCAAGTAGACATTGAACATCTGAGCAGGCATGTTACATACTTGGAGCTAGTGAATAAAAACTAAATTTCACACTAAATTACTATCGGGCTACTGCCCCCTAGCTATGAAAACCAGAAAAAGATTGGCGATCAAAGGAGTAAAAAGGTATTTATACCTGCTCAAAACTCTATTTATTTTTAGATCTGAGTAGGTGCAGCAATTCAAAGAAAATTCCTATTAATAAAATACCATTGGTATGGATATTAGTTCTCCATTTTACTTTCATGTAGTTTGGGTATCAAAATGTACTCCATAAAGTTTCACCTCATTTAGATGCTAAGAATGATTACCAGTCTATACAAGAAGCAATGTCTCTGCCAGAATCCATTAGTCACTTGTTTAAGAGTGACACCAAAAGATATTAGCCTCTCGCAAGTGTACATAAAATATCCACTACCCACTCCTTTAAAACAGTAAAGGAAGTTTCAATAGGTGATACAACTCCTACAGTCAAGCGGGGGGAGTAGTGAGTAAACTCTATAATTTTAGATAGCGATAAAGATTGCAAAAGTAATTCTTAAAAACTTTTATTTCAGAAATATACTGTATGATTTAACTGTGTTTGCTGTATGTGAGCGTCATGTTCAAATGCAGATGTTCTTTTTACATTCTGTTGCCATTTTCAATAGGCTGTACCGCTAGTAATGCCTTCATGGCCCTTATAAATACCTATAAGCATAGTATTTGACCATTTGAATGTATCAATTTTTGTCATACCTGCTGTACTTTTGCTTCTGTACTAACATTTTAGACCGTGTGTGAAATATTGCAAGAGAAAGGACACACTATACCATCTAAAGTTTTTCGTTCCCTAGACAGTTTTATAAAAGATAAACACATGAATGAAATATAAAATTGTGGTGAATGTACATCAGGGCCAGCCCAAGACATTGTGCTGCCTGGGTCGAAGGATGAAAAGCTGCCCCATCAACACCCCAAATCTTGCACGTATTCAGGAGATGCAGTGTGTGCATTGTATGCAGTGTGTATAGTGAATGCATTGTATGCAGTGTGAAGTGGATGCAGTGTATGTGTGGATGCAGTGTAGTGGGTGCAGTGTCTTTGTAGTAGATGCAGTAGTGGAGGCATTGTCTGTGTTTGTGTAGTTGATGCAGTATAGTGTGTGCAGTTTCTGTGTTTGTGTATTATATACTGGATACCGTGTCTGTGTGTAGTGCATGTAGTGTGTGCAGTGTGTGCAATTGATGCAGTGTCTGTGTGTAGTGCAATTATTGTGTATAGTGGATGCAGTCTATGGGTGTAGTGCATGTAGTGTGTGCAGTGTGTTTAATGGATGTAGTGCTTATGAGTAGTGCATGTAGTATTTGCAGTGTGTGTAGTGGATGCAGTGTACATGTGTTGTGTATGTGTGTGTGCAGTGGATGCAGTGTCTGTGTGTAGTGCATGTAATGTGAATAGTGGATGCAGTGTCTACGGCGGTCGGCCATCTTGGATCCTTTGTTCCCCAGCGGTGTTTGGTCGTTGAGCGCATGGAACTGAAAACGGCTACTCGACGGCACGAACACCGCTGGGCTTCCAGAGCGTTCGGGAGTCCCGGGACGTTCGGTAGTTTTATTCATCTATGTCAATCGGTCCTTTTAACTTGTGTTGTGAATAATGTGTTTTTCGTACGGCGTTCGGTTGTTTTAGCTGGGATCTGAGCGGTATTCACACGAACGGTGTGCTCAGACCCCAGCTATCTACCGAACGTCCATTCGTTTAAATCTGTCAAGTATGTGAAAAGTTATGGATTTTAATGTGAATTTTCAGTTCTGCTACACGGAGGGATAATCCACTTAACTGTACATTCCAGTGGGAGTATCCCTCTCGTGCAGCAGTGCCTGATGGGAGAAAAGCTCTGTACATTAAGTTCCCCATGTAGTCCACTTTGGCAATGCCCCTGGAATAGGACTCAGGAAACCCCTTGCATGGGGAATTGTATAAATTGTGGAGCTGTGAATAAAGACCTCAGTTGACTCCCAGCCTATGTGTCGTCTAGTTCTTGGGAGGGAAAGATTACTACAGTGCTACCTGGATTATTGCATGCTGATTCCCCTGGGTTATCCTTTGTTGTTCCTGTTACCCACCGGAGATATTGTGGATTATACTGCCTCTCCGTTACAACTGGTGGCAAGCGACGGGATTGAATCTACACAGCAAAGCAACGTTCGGCAGAATTAAAAGGACTAAAGGAGCGGCGATTCGGGAATTAGGTCATTCGGATGAAACCTACGAACGGCCGGTGAATGGGAACAAATTACGCCCTGCTAAAACAGAGCACACTAAAGGAGCTGCTGGAAGCAAGAGGAGCAATAGCCAGTAACAAGGCAAGGGCTGTCCTTATTACAGAGCTCATGGAAGGGGACAGAGCCGCAGCTGCTGCAGCACCTCCAATGGAGGAAGAACCAAACGAATTTGCAACCGAATTCAGAATACGAATGGCGTTATTCCCTGAACCACCATCTGCAGAGATGATTAACAGGCTCTTCGCTGATGTACAGGAGTACATCATGTTTAGGAGGGCGCAAGGGAATCAACAAGCCGGAGAAAGAGCTGCAACGCCTGTCAATATCCTCCCAGGGAAAGCCAAAATTCCATACCAAGTCTTCAAAAGCTATGTGGAGGCTGACGGTGGCATTGACGACTACTTAGAGAACTTTGAGAGGCTGTGTTTGCTGCATGATATCAGCGATGCAGACCGGGTACCCCTACTAGCAGGGATATTATCTGGGCGGGCCGCAGAAGCGTACCGGGCAGTGCCAGATGAGGATAGTAGAGACTACAATAAGGTGAAACGGGGCATTCTAGCACGGTATACAATCACCTCCGAGGCGTACCACATGAAGTTCCGGGACATTAAAAAACCCACTAAGGACACTCATGTGGAATGGGCACATCAGCTACAGCGAGCTGCAAAGGGGTGGTAGGAGGCCGCCCAAGTTAACACATTGGAGGGTCTGTTCCAACTGATGGTCCTGGAGCAATTCTTCAATGGCATCCTTGCATACCTACAGAATTGGATCCGGGACAGAAAACCACACACCCTGCAGGAGGTGGCTAAAATGGCAGACGAGTTCCAAGATAATAGGAGAGATCAGCCCGCGCCAACCAGAGCTGCCATCGCCCCTACATCAGCAAGCGCCACAGGGGGCCCCACGACTCAACAGCGACCGGGGGTAAGCCAGAGTTCCTACCCCCCCAGGTATTCAGCACGCCCACCAATTCGGTACCTGCAACCAACAGGGGCACATTCAGAGGGACTGCCCACGGAACTGGCCCAGGCCCAGCTGGAATAAAGGACTTCGTGACTCTGGGGCTACCTTAACTCTGGTCCGAAGTCATTTGGTACCAAAACCCAAGCTCACTGGGGACTGTGTTGTGGTACGGGTGGCAGGGGGAGCCATTTACAAAGTACCAACGGCCAAGGTACACTTGAATTGGGGAGCGGGGCACGGGAATGTGTATGTGGGGATGATGCAGGACTTGCCAGCGGATGTGATTTTGGTCAACGACTTGGGGGAGCTGACTTCAGCATTTTTTCCACAACCCACAGTACAGGAGGCTTATCCGGTTGTGACCCGGCAACAGGCCCGCACCACAGCACCATCCAACCACTCTGAGGCTCGGGTAAGCAATGACCCCCCCATACCCACTGTCATGCCATGGGCCAATCCCCTAGAGTTTGGGTCAGAAGTGGCCCTAGACCCCTCTTTACAGGTGTATAAAGACCGTGTTGATAAACATCAAGGAGGATTAGAAGGGGAAAGGTATATCTGGGACA